TGTAAAACACATCAAGTATTATACTTATATATACTATTGTTCGAAGACTTTTTCCAGTGGTGGTGAGTTAGACAGTAGGCTAGTTTTACACATTATTATCTACACTACCAATAATATGAAAATTGTAGTTTGGCCAATAAAACTATTATGCTATAAGCCTTGAGGCATAGTCTATATTTAACCCTTTCTATAACAAATTATGTACAATTTCATATAGACCTAGATATCGAAATTAACTTAAGCATTATTGCTAGATATAGGTCATACATTTATTAGAATAAACAGCATGTTGTCGATATAGTATCTTCCCATGTTTAGTCATTACAGTACCGAAGAAGTGGGTACCGGTACAGTTATAAATCTCTGACGTGGCCAATGTCTGGTGTGAACTAGGACGTATAGAAATATTCTTTAAAAACATATAAGGTGATTGTACTGTTCCATTTTAAATTTCAAGTGCCAGTATCTTTCAACAAATTAAAGTGTTTCTGTGTCGTGAAGGTGACTGTGAAAGCGGCAGTTTAAAGCATTTTTGTGGGAAGCTCATATACGATTCGGTCTCGGGAGTCTACAATACTTAGCATACTCGAAGTGTTCAACTAGAAAAATTTATAACCGGTCGGATAACGGTAAAGCCCCCTTTTCCCGAAGGCAACCTAACTATCTTGGGGACAGTCAATTGAATTACCTATCCACCAATATTTTGGTTTACTTCTGTGCACTGAATTGTTTTGCCGGTTAAAACGATGTGTTGCCGCGGATCAAACACCTGGTGGAACCTGTTCATTGCTAATAACACGCTCTTATAAATTTGACAAAAGCCTGATACAACATTTGTCTGTAAAATTCCAGGCCTACTGATTTTTATCACTTCCTATACACGATGTGTTGGCACTCGACTAAATGTATATCATCACTCTGTATGATCAGGGAACAGTGAAATTGATCATTAAACTTGGAATAGGCCAAGTGATCCCAATCTCAATATAATTTTATATTTAGTTATAGGCCATTACTACCAGAGGTAGAATTTTGATTATAAATTGGTTTGATCTGACTATAGCCTATTTCGTTTGTTGTAGCCTCATGTACAAATCACTTAATTCAATGAATCAAGTAAATAAACAAAAGCGATAAATGTTTAACCACGCCAGTTTCTTAAGGTGAAGTATAAAAAAACACGTAAGGCATATTCCTAAAGATACTTTCAAGGGATTAGACGAACAATTAGTAATAAGTCCAGTGTCCAGGGAACTGATACCGGTACGCTTGAAGAATAGGCATATGGCTGTATTAGGAGCTGTGTACATGTGTATTAATATTAGGACTATATTAAACAAACAACAAAGCTGAGTACCGTATTGATAGACTGAAAAGGCCCTAGCTTAAACTGTAATGAATAGAACATACAATGTTTTATAATTATTGAATTATAATGAATATTAGTACTAGGAGAGGCACACGGTAACTAATATTTTATTAATATAAATATTTTAATCACATGTTGATACCTTGTTCTCCAACGTAGCTATTCATAGGGCATCCCATTGTCATGATAGTGAGACCATTTGGATCTCTAGTGATCTCAGCCAAAATCAAGTATGTAAGGATTTATTACATGTACAATAGTAATTTAAGTTATCAAGTACATGTGTTTTGGTATTGGATGGAAGTAGGCCTGTTTGACCTGATTCTGACAGTAATAGTGTTCTAAAATGTTATATATTGCTGGCGTTGAGTTGTCGGTGATATCAAAGTAGAATAATATGATCTCTCTAGACAACGGTTGCTGTTTAAACGAACATTAACTACGATGGTTTTTACATGGATGAATAAGTTCGATCTGTATATTATTTTTCTTAGATTTATCCTTCTTGTTTAGTGAAATAAAAAATTCTCATTTCGCTAGTTGATAGATCTGTACGGCAAGGTATGTACAAATTAATAATAAGTTTATTATTAACTTATAGCATTACCGGTATACGTTTAAAATTATAATAGACATGCAAATGACATCAATACTAATAATATATTTTCTGATCGAATGAAAATATACCGGAAAGAATTATCATTTTAGTCAAAACACTACATGATTATTTTTGTTAGCTCTGTCCATGCCGGTTTCCTATAATTTCAATAATTAGCAAAACCGACTCTTTATTTTGACGTCGCTGAAAGTAATGTATCCTTTTTCGCATTATCTTACCAGGTATTGTTAGAGGATATCTACCAGCTAGGCGGGAAGTAATATACTTTGGAAGAAAAGTAAACAAATTCTAGTGGCTGATTAGACTGGAAATTGCAGCTGACAGCGATAGCTCACCTTAATATAACAACTGCAATAATGAACCTAACACAGGTGTGATAAAACACCTAACACCGAGGCCGTATTAGTATTTATACAAGACGTTTTAATTGGCATTTGCATGCGAGTCATATGATATGATGCAAAACAGGTCTTGGAAAAGTCTCCTTGTACGCTGGTTCCCATGGGGATATGTACAGGGGGACTGTCCCGCCTGCACTCACCTGGTGATCTTTCACAAGTTGAAACTCAGGTGAAAATAATGGGAGTAAATATTGTAAAGCGAAATTCCGAATCAAAATATTGCAGTTATTTTAAGCCTGTATCAAATTTCGAAACTAAATGATGAATTTGCAATGACGGCATTTACAGCACATGGCTCATGTAATTGAATGCCAATTGCTACACAAATAAAAAAAAAATGATGGCGAATATTTAGTTGACCATTTTATGCATTTTAAATTGACAAACGTTCAGGTCTTGGTATAGGCTACATTGTCATGTATTCGTGGCAGTTTAAAGAAACGATGGACTCACAAATTTATTCATTAGTTTTAATTAGGGCGTTCGCGTTAAGTACGGTGGTACAAAAAGGTATGCGTTTATTATTATTATTATTATTATTATTATTAAATCAATAAACTATTTTCAATTTGTGGGCCTGAATATCGTTTGTATACCACTCCTATGTGTATTACGAAATCTTAAATCGTGCTGAGTAAAATACTCCACAAAAATAATCATAACTTTTTTTTTTTCGTATGTATCTATACATTATTACCCCATTAAACTATATCCTTAAAAGAGACCAATAGAACAATAATATCTAGAACTACTATTTTCTTATAACCGTTGAAAGGTTTGGGGTTGAAGGTGAAACACTGCTGTGACATTTTAAAACCACTCATACCTTAGTGACAATTATCAACAACAGGTAAATTTTGGATGCATAGCAAAGCCCAATCAGTCGATAAAATAATTATGAATATAAAGATAACTAGCAGAGAAAGAAGCATGATTTAAAGTCTAACTAATTATGTTGTAGGCCTAAAGATATTAGATAATGAGGATTGTTCAATGATGTACAGACAATTTTTACCTGTCAATGGTGGCCCCTCTGGTAGTACCGTACGCTCTAATTAGTAATTTCCTACACGGCAGATACTTTCGTACCCTTACCCACCCCAATAAGGCCACTGCGATGATGAATACCCTCGACGAAGAAAAGGAAAAGTGATGTGAATAGACATAGTTTGGCCTAGATCCGCCCATCAAATTCGCTGTGGATAACCAGTGTATATGGAACATGAATCAATTACTTTCTAAATTGAATATGTCATTGCTCTTTGATCCAATAGCAAACTTCATAATATAAGTATTGAAATAATACAGAATATTCCATTAACAAATTATTACTATTGGTTGTTGTTTCCTAAGTACAGATGTCTAGACTCAAGCGCTTGAATGATTTTGTCTTTAAACCTCTTTTACTTGAAAATACCTCTTTTGGGGTTTTGGGGTTTTCATCATGATATTTTCGTTCGCTGTATGATGACATTTATCTCTAAACAAGGTGAATTGTCATATAAAGCTCTTAGCCTGACATATTTCAATAAAGTCATCAATTGTTTAAGGAAATTAACCATAAACCGTAACCGGAAATTTTGGACAGAAATTTGGGCAATTTTGCGCTTGATCGCCTTGTCAGTTGACCCAAGGCTCAACGTCAGTGTAGCCTTCGTTACAGATCTTGCGGTTCACCATCCCACTGGATTGAAGGCACGTTGTTACTCGGTTCCCTCATTCCACTAATCACTTCCTATCCAGGTTAATGAATGGCATATAAAAGTTGTTTCAGTCATAAGTTTTCCAAATATCGATTGTCGTGTTCCAGATTCCGTCTATTTACGTAGGTCGGATCAGGTATGTTCTGATTTGACATAGGAGTAGGCCTATAATCTAAAAAAGGCCTATACCATTTTGGATTGGAAAAGCATTCGTTTGTTCAACACTTTTCTTGCAAAAGCGCTTAAAAGATCAGATTAGTAGGCCTACACGCCACCATGCAACAATAGAGGCTTATAATACGCAAGCCTACATTAATAGAGAAGACTCTCGAACATGTATGCCTATACAGTAATAAGCTGTGGTCTTTGTGTTATTATTATGGGCTATATATAATATTTCTCTTTTTGTATATATTCATATGTAGTTATTCTTATATGTATTATATTACTAAAAGCCTATACGGTATGCATACCGTATGTATATATATATAAGATGTGTATAAGAGACAGGATTCTGACAGTAATAGTGTTCTAAAACTGTCTCTTATACACATCTAGATGTGTAGAAGTTGTCTTGGCGTGAGGCATTTAACATTGTTGAATGTCAAACATATCAAATATTTTACACCAAAAATATTACGCTACGGTATGGTGAATATAAATCTTAGTAATACTGTATAATGAATAAGCTGTTGAAAGAACTATGGATTAGAGGCCTACCCAACAGGCTGGATTCGTCAATCGTGTAGTGTTAGGCCGTCAAGCGACCAGAATTGTTAACCTGTGGTATTGCAATTCGTATTGTGTTCGCTTTGAGTAGACATTTGGGAGGGAATTTTTACAAGTTCTTCCTTCATTCTCAGTGCGACACTACGATATTGTGAAGTACTGTACATATAGAATCTGTGATCAAGGTTTACCAATAAAGAAACACCATAAATCAGATTGTTTCCCAGAGTTCACTGGCGGCTGAAGTAGTTGCTAGGCTCAGGCAATCTTTAAGATGAATCATGGAGGCAGTCGAGAGTTGTGTTTGCCGCTGTCAAGAAAACAGCCTAATATAATTGCAAGGGTGACTTGTAGTTCAGGGTGAGTCAACAGACAAGATGTCCTACATCCTAGGCCCGGTTCATCGACCCCTCAACTAACGGGAACGAACTTAGATTTTTCCCCCCAGTCAGAGGAAATTCTTTCTCATTTTACAGGAAACTAGGAAAAGGGCACAACTGCTAAAGTCGCACAATCAACATCCATTTGACAGATATGGACATTCAAAATATTCCTCTTTACAATTTTAGTCACATGTCGAAGTCCCTTAATCGATACAGGCATGATGGACGAGACAGAGATAAACACTTTCAATAATACTTTGCGGTACATGCGGTCATTACTAATGATACCTATTTGACAAATTTAAGATAGGCCAATACAGGAAAGATAACAAATTAGGACGTAAACTGAAGTCATGTGACTAAGGGGGTGTACGGTAAGAATGGCCCCGGAAAAAATGGCCCCGGAAAAAATGGCCCTGGAAAAAATGGCCCCGGAAAAAATGGCCCCGGTAAAAATGGCCCCATATGACATGTAGGTAAAAATGGCCCCAATAATCAAATTCTGTATTAAAACTGATTTTCTTGAGTCAATACCTGTATATGCATTTTTGTATCTTAAATAATTTAGTTTCTAAAAGGAATCTAACATCAAACAAATTGCCATTTACATTTTACTTTTTGCAAGAATTAATATTCAATGATAAAATATTCAAAGATAAATATAAAGCCATGAATTACACTTTTTATTTTTTTTTCCATTTAAATGTTAAAAAATAGCAACAACAAAATCAATAACTCAACATAAATCATGCATTTATTAATACTAAAATAATTTACTTGTGGCCGATTTCACGGTAGAGGAATCACAATTTTCAAGAAATTCAATCTGTATTGTTAAACCCCACAAACAGTGGGTTAGTATGAACATAAAATTATTATTATTTTATTTTTAAGAAAAAGAGAGTTCTACAATCATAATTATATGGTTTAGATGGGGTTTGCAGTGTGTTTAGAGGTTTGTGTTGTATTTGCAAGTATTTTTTCATAACAATCTAAATTTTAACCAAAAAAAAATTAGTTATGAATGTATTTAATTTTCTTATTGATATACCAAGTCAGTCAATCACAATTGAATTGTTTGATTTTCTACAGTGTGTTTTGGGAGGTTTGTGGAATTTAACACTTAATCCTTCTATAGTCACCCTACCCTCACAAACCATTTTAATTCTTAGCATAATTGCCATACATTACTATATATAATTCTAAGCCAGTAGTAGGCACTTGGATTTAGTTAGTGATGAGTAAAAACCAAGTATGCAACTAAATTAGTTGCTTAAATAAATGTATTCCTAATTATTCAGTTTACTAAAAGCAATACT